ATATCAACCCCACATGTGCAGATCAACAGTGCATGCCACACGGTTTACAGAGGAGACTACCTAGGAGTTTTCAGGGCATAATCTTGGCCCATTGTTCTTATCATTAATACGATTCTAATATTACATTTATCGTGCTTCTTTCATCCTGAAGAGGATCCTTTGCTGCTTTACAAACCATACCTACGGGAACATTGCAGTAGGTAAGCAAAATAAGGGCTATGCGTGAAGGCCACACAGTGCACCACAGGAGGAGAGGGTGCAGAGATGGTATGAAGCTCAATGTGTTCTTCCACAGTCAGGGTGATTCCCATGGTTGGCATAAATTATAGCAGCCTGGAGAATTTGATTCTAAGTGTTCTCCATTAGAAAGAAGAGCAATGAATTGAAGAGTAGGATCAATAATGTGAAGTGACTCAGCAATATCCAGTGTTTCCATCCAGAAAAAGGAGTTGGGCATTATCAGACAGACAGGTATTGCACAGCTGGGGTGAAATCTTGGCCTTATAGAAATCAATGGCAAAACTCCCCTTGATTGCAATAGGACCAGGATTTCACCCCAGAAGAACATGAATCATCCCTCTTTGAATGTGCAGGATTTGGGCACGCATCAGTGATCTGGGAAGTGTTGTTACAATTCCCCTCCACCTATCCTGTTTCCTTAAGCAGTAAGGGCTAGTATTTCATTTTAAAAAATTATTTCTTCACATCCCATTTAACATCGGAAAAGACTCATGTTCCCACAAAGTAATCCCTTATTGGCTATTTATCCTTCTGAGGGAAAGCCACTACAGCCTGATCTGTCTGTCCCCTGATATTATCCACAACAGAGCTTCCTTTCATTTTCCTTTCTCTCATTCACATAGCACCTCTTCCTCTGCTCAGTGTGACACCCTCAGAGCAACTAAACTCAGAGTAATCAACGGTGACAAAGTGGGTATGTTCTTACTGTTTTGTCTGAATACTGTGTGCCTCAGTTTCCCTTATGTGTTATTCAAGTGTCTAGGTGGTGGGACAAGGGTGTGTGATCCTTGCAAAGACCCCTAGGGGCAGGTGTGACTGCCTGGGGACAGAGAGAACCGCATCCTGTATCTGTATCCTGGTAACTGATGGCCAGGGATACAGAGTCAGTTGGAGGAGATGGAAAACAAAGTGAGACAGGTAGTGCCTGCCCAGGAAAGAGACAAAGTAAGGAGATGGGGCAGTAACTCATGACTAAGGCTGGCTGCTGGAAGCTGGTCAGTCTCCTGGGGGAGACCCCAGGGCTTTGGGCTCTGGATCCCCCAAAATGGAATTTGCTGAATGTTCCTGCTTTCTGTACTAACAAGATCTGTTCTATGCTGTGTTCCCATCAACTAATAAACTCTTCTGTTTTACAAGGCTGGTGGAGAGTCACTGCTGACTGCAAAGTTGGGGTATATGGCCCTTTGGGGGTATGTAAGGCTTTTCCAGGTGGACTCGCTGCAGGATGCTCACAGTGTGAACTGGGGTGCTGAATGCTCCCAGGTCAGACCCAGGCACAGGCTTCTTGCCCTGGTGAGAATGTGCACTGAAGGAAAACACACTGCACTAGAATCCTGCCTGACTTCATTCAGAGCTGTTTCAGAGCACCAACACTGTGATTCTGTGACACCAACAGGTACACTTGCTCCACAAAGACAGTTAAAAGTGAATGATGAATCTTTATTGGATAACAGAGTTGGTTTGATGGAAAGAATGAAGGGATCTAGGTCCAGGTTACAAAAATCAGAAAACTGAATGCTATGTGTTAGTGACACCAATAACCATATTCCTGGCATTTAATATATTTCATCGGTTCCTTTCTTTAGCCAGAAATCCATTCACATTATTTGAAGGAAATTTAGACTGTGTTCAGAACTTCCATTTTCTTTTCACTTCTTAATTCTCTTAATATACTCACCCCACCACTTTTACTACTTTTCTAATCTGTATTCCCTTTCCTCCATTCTACTTATATTTCTCTTAGTTCTCTTCTCTCTTCTCACTGCCATCACACCTGTTTTAAGAACCAGTACATTTCTTTAAATTTTAATAAGATGTCTGGCCTTCCAGATTCAATGTGTTCCTGCATATTAACTTGCAAGTAAATTTTGTTCCTCACAGCTATTTCCTTCAGGTGTTATCTTCATTTTAAAATTGGATTAGTTTAAAAATAAAATGAAATATAGATAGATCGCAGGAAATAATTAATGAAAAATCTCATGCTTTGTGTCTATAAAACTGGATACGTTAGAGATCAGTGAAAGTACCCATGTTGTATCCATAACCTTTTCTGAACGTACAGCAGAGCATTTAATCTGCAAAACAAATCTGGAGATCTATCAAAAATAGTCTCTCATTGGTCTATAGGTAACTCATAGTTTTAATCAGGAGGAAAATAACATGTGAACAGTATGTGTTTGGTCTTCCTATTTCTGCTCATGACTAGAAATAGAAAATGCCTAAAAATGGATGGGGAAGAAAGTTATCTGAACTTTTTTCAAACCTCATTCATGTTCACATTGTGTTTGGCCTAACAAGTTGTATAATTTCTTATATTATCAGAAGTGGTCTGTGCAGCCCCTTCTAGCAACTATGTTTTCATCATGCAAACTATGAAATGAAAACTGATGTTTAAATGATGTATGGGTGAATGCTGAACGCTAGATGGCAGCTTTACACTGCACATATCATAGTCTTCTAGGTAGCTAGAGAGTAATGTTTTCCCTACCCCTGTTTAAAAAGGTTTTCTCCAGTATAGTTCATAGCTGTTAACATGCTATAAGAACTTTTTTGTGTCTTGTTTCTTGTGCTTGGTTGATTCACATAGTGTTACTCCATATGTTTTGGCAGAAGAGCTCTGGATTAGCAAATCTTTGGTGCACAAACCTGTTCTGTTTAACTTACTGTATATATTGATTCTGTTTAACTTACTATATATATGGTAGGGTGTCAAAAATCTTTTGGCTGCTCAGATTTGTTTAAATCTAGGACCTAATGATCCAAGATTTTTCCTTTCTATAAAGTTAATCTGGATCATCAAATCTTGGGTGTAGTCATAAGGCTGAGACCCTTGACAGATTTTGGTGATCCTACCACATCTACAGTAAGCTAAATATTGCTGGAGCACTTCGTTTAAAAAAAATATATAGGAAAGAACTTTATTTGCCAAAGAGAAATTGTGAATTTTAGAGATGTTCAGGTAATAAAATACTCACTTCTTTGTATACATACTCTGTGTCCATGGACAATTCTGCTTTCTTGGGTTACTTGCTTCCCAAAAAGAGAGAGTGAAAAGATCAATCTACATAACTACAGTACTAATTATTATGTTCCTGTATGTTTTGCATAGATATTTATCATGACAAAGAACTAATTTCACATCAGTGTTCAGGTTCAAATTGCTTCTCCTTATTTTCTAGCTCTTTATAGCCCAGCGGTGCTGCTAGAGAACAGGGTCTAGGCACTTCCATATTTCCATGATACCGCTTCCTTTTAAAACTATAAGCCAGTTTTACACTAAGGTAAGGCCATTGTCCTGTGTGGAGTTACTCTTGGTTTACATAAGTGTGAGTTCAGAATCAGACCCAGTGTCTTGTTTATTTCTGCTTGCATTGTCCAGAAATTTAGCATATCAATTCTTAGTTTGAGTGTGTTTGTTTAAAAAGACATACACTGATCATACTTTATTCTCGAACAATTCTCACGTTGATTTAAGACCTCTGCAGCACTTAGACGCAAGTGAGGCAGGTGGCCATTAAAGTCCCAGTCCTGCAAATACTTCTCTCATGAGTATCTTTACATAGCTGTGTGGTTTCATTCAATTCAATGGCACTACTTGTGTGTGAGAGTTAGCAGGATTGGAGTCTAAAATGTCTTGAGCTCCCATTTGTTTTGGATTACGGCATCGTCATTTATATTTTCAAAATATCTATTGATTTGAGAAGCCTACAGTTTTGGATGGCCAGTTTAGTACACCTTAAAGAGGCTTGATATTTTGAGGACAAGTCATCAGCACCTCAAAAAGTCACGTCCCAGTTCCAAAATCTATTGACGTTGGTGGAAAGACTTACATTAACCTCAGTGAGCTTTGACTCAAGCTCTAAACTCGTATGTTCTCAAGAATTCTCAAGCTGGGCAACCAAAAATTAACATTTCTGAGATCACTAGCCACTTTGGAAAATGTAGGTCTGAATTCTGTCCAGCACTGATCCACATAGCCAATTTTATTTTATTTTACCTTGATATTTTCTCTTGCACTCGTGCAATCTCAATTTTATTTTATTTTATTTTTTGCAACTGAAAAAAAAAAAAAAAAGTTGAGACAGGAACAACCTGGTAGTTTTAATTTAATATTTGTCTGCATGTGGAGATTTGATTCTGATCTTTAACATAATTTTATTCTTCCAATATTAAACTATTTCTGGGTATATCTCCTTAGCACTTAACAGTCAAATGCCTAGAGCAACATACAGTGCTGTCATCTGTAGAAAGGATTCTGTCAGAGACGGTCAGGTCACTGAGCTAGTAAGAATGCAACTATTGTAGAAAGGATTCTGTCAGAGACGGTCAGGTCACTGAGCTAGTAAGAATGCAGCTATTGTCCTACATTCTTTGTTTATGAGTAAAGATTTAGGTTGGTTTATTTATCTGGAACTTGTTTTAAACTGGGAAAAGAATGAATATTTTCAGATTCACTTCAAGGCACTAGTTTATCTGGATGGCAAGTTTCAACAGATCTCAGTGAAGGTGAAAGTAAACTAGCTTTCACTAGGAACAATACATTTGGATACCACATGAAACATGTCAGTGTTCAGGCTGCCTCCAGTTCTTGTCTGGGAATATAAGAGGAGCTTGCTTTCCTGGGGTGTGCTATTTGAGAAAGAAAGAAATTTAATACTACTAAATGCAGGCGGGGTCAGAGTGATGTAACAGGAAGCTCTGATGTTTCCCTTCTGCTGCTGATCACTTACAATCTGACAACCCTTCCAATTCTCCTCAGAGCAACCCCCCTCTCCACAGAAGACCAGAGTAACCTCTTACATTAGGATCATCAGGCTCTGATAAACTGGATTATACCCAGCTTGCAGGATCAGATTGTAGGTCTCTTATCATTCTCCACCTTGCTGGGGGAAGGAGGAAGAATCACACTCTTTCATAAATTGAAAGGCAAAAATCAAATTGAGATCCAAGAATTTATTTGAATTTTTTTCCAAAGGAACTGTGTTTGGTGAGTACAGATTAAAACAGATTTATTGTATTATTAAAGAAGAATGACATCCCTGGGGCATCTGAATGTATTCATCAAAATGGATATTAATATTATAAGGAGGAACTGCTTGTTTTTTTAACCTGATCATGTTGGTAATCTGCAGAGGTAGAGCTATAAGAAAAAAAAGTCTTTGTTTATGTTTTTTTAGTGAACAAATGCTGAGCTGATTTTATAATTGATATTGTTAAAATATTTAACAAATTAATCAAAAGTTGGATTGGTAAAAAGGATGATACAAACAAGACACCCAAGTCAGCACTTAAAGGATTCTTTCACAAATCCTAATATTAGCTGATCAGGTTTCAGTATTTGCATCTGGAGAGGATTAGGGCTTTACTGGTTGGGAAATAATCCTTAAAACTAATTCAGAACAACTGGGGTTCTTTCAAGAGAGGAAGAATTAAGTGATAAAAGCAGAGCAGTTTTCTTTACTTGATTTTCTTCTCGTCCCACTGTCATTGCTATCATACAGGAGAAAGAGATTACATTTAAATTAGACCAGAATGACTCCTTGCTGCTTTATAACAGAATTTAAAAGGGTTTTGTCATTTTTAAGGAAAAACTAATTTTAGTTTGTCAGTTTTTGGTGAGGTTTTTCCCCCCCCCCTTCTTTTTTTCAAGGTTTTCTTTCCCTACCAAATGTGTGTGTGGCAGGGGGAGGGGTGGGGTGTTGTCTGGGGGGGGGGTGTTTTGGTTTGGGGGTGGGTTTTTTTTGGTGTTTTAGTTTTTCCTTCTGTGTTGATCAGTTTTAAAAAATGTTTCCTCCTTTCCCCAACTTATTAAACCATTGCAGTGTGGAAAACTGGAAATGTATGATTGGAGTGGGTACATTTTAGTATAAAGGGTTAAGCTGACGCTAAAGTTTGGTATCTATCTTGTTTGCCCTAGAGAGGATTAAACTTTCTAATTTAGAAGTAGTATTTCCTGTCTGTATCCATGAAGGCACATTCCTATGATAGTTACCTTTGTTAGTCAATTGCTGCATGTGTGTGTAAATATGATGGGGGGGGGGGTAGGGAAGCTGATGTCATGGATCATTAGATGGAAAAACCCCATGAAAATGTATGCTACTACGGGAAATCTATGTTGAGAAATAATATCGGCGACAGTGTACATATGAGATACAAATGAGACGTTGTCCTGCAATAATTCAGTTAGCCCCTGCTAATACTGGAAAATCATAGAAGCGTCTGCGTTGTTACTATCTTACCTTAATACATTCACATTTAATACCTGGGGCCAGGCTCTACTCTGATTTACAGCAGATTGTCTTCACATATCATGGAACCTAGACACTCATTTGCAACTATGGGGGATTTAACAATTAAGAATGATGCTTTATAAATGGCTCAGTTATGCTCTCAGCTACACTGCCTCTAAATCTAGAGTAATTCCATTGAAATCAAAGGAGTTACACTAATCTAGATCAGCATGACTAATAGTAGGCTTTATTGGCTGTATCTTATCTTTAAAGTCATGATTTTCAATCTTTTTTCATGTGTATATCCCTAAATATCTTCAACTGGAGGTACAGAGCTCTTTCGAAATCTATTGTCTGCATATATAGTTCAATTCTGTTCAATCCGGTTTTAGTTTGTCTTTCGCAGACCCCTTAGACATCGTCTGCAGACCCCTGTTGAAAACCACTACTTTAAAGATCACACAGAAATCGGCAGCATGAGGGAGGATGTGTTCTGCTGTATGTTGTGTATTACTTCATATATATTTTCCATGTGTGATTAATGTAGCAGGTCAGACATGGTAATACTATCTATTTTAGGCACCGTGTTTTAGTCAGTTACTGTATTTATACAGTATTCTCTGAAGAATCTCGTATGATTCTGCTTCCACTGAGGTCAAACTCTCAGTGATCTGAGGATCAATCCCAAACTCTTTATCTTGCTTTGGCAATAGGTGTGGGGCAAAAGGCATTTAGTGTTGATAAAATCAAACAATAAAAAATACAGAAATCAGTGCTAATGTTGTTTTAATTAACTGAATACTAGAAATAATTGGCTACAACAACTGTTTCCGCTAAATGGTTTAGGCTCCAATCTTTCACAAGCTTAACTTTGCTTAAGTGAGTAGTACCAGAGACTGCAACTGGACTACTCACACTTGCAACATTAAGCATGTGTTTAAGTGTGTGCAGGAGCAAGGCCCTAATCTAAAATGATTAGCATATTTCATACGCGATAACCAACCAGTGATGCTGAGCAGTTTGGCTCAAAAGATTTGATGTACAAAAGAAAAGTATTAAGTATACCTGATTACTAACCATGGGTATGACCAAATATAGGACCAAATTCTGTGGTACTCAACATCCTGATTCTCCCAGGCTTACTCAAGCTGTGATACCTTGCTCGGTGATTCAACCCAAACACACACTGACCCTCAGCAGGCAAAACTCCCATTGACTTCAGTGGAAGTTCTGCTCAATTTTCACAAATGCAAGATTTGTCCCAACAAACAAAAAAATTTTCTGATTTGGCACAACAAATAAAGTCCTGGCCCCATTGAAGTCCATGGGAGTTCTTCCACTGACCAGCATTTCACAAAAGGTGTGCATGTTATGCTATAGTTAGTTTTAGTTTTGTGCTGAGGAATTAACTGCATCACAGATATCAGGATGTAAGGATGTCTCTCCTTACACCTTTTTCTTTTTTTCCTGACAGGCTGCTGATAGACATTTTTTAGTAATTTCAAAAATTTTTGATATTGATTATTCATTTTAAGTCTGGAAGTATTGAGTAAACTTGTTTAATCAAAATTCAGTGGGGGTTAGATTCTGCCCTGCTTATGCCTGGTGAGCAGTACCTGATTCTCTGAAGAGTTCCATTGATTTCAGTGGGACTGCTCATGGAGTAAGTTACTACTCGACATGAGTAAAGGTTTCTGATAGCCGGAAATAAAGAATAAAACCGGCCTGTCCTGCCAATATTTGCTCAGTTTAGTTCTTGCAAATGCAAGTAGTTCCATTGCCTGCTGTAGAACTACTCGGGTGTGAGGCTTCTGTAGGACTGGGCCCACAAAGCTTTCATAAATCACGAAGGCAAACTTATTTGAATACTTCAGTAACTCCCTCTAAGAAAATACCGAACCCAGTCTGTTTCCAATATTAAAGTATATGCAGCGATATTAAAAATATATTTCTAGTAAGTTTTATAGTAAATATTAAAGACGCCTTGTGCTACTTCATGAGCAATTTCAATGAAAAGTTAGTTTCTACATTTCTGTAGGCTACTTAACTTAAGCTTTCTTTAAGAAGTTGTTCTCTTCCGTGCATTTGTTTAGTTTTCTTGGTTTTAGTAGTAAAATTACTTCTATGCATACTGTTTAGCTGTCATTTATGAATGTATACAGAATACTGGAATAAAGTCACAGCCCAAATTCACCTCTGCTGTAAAAGCATGTATAATAGCTTGTCATTGGTGGCGCATCAACTTTAGATCATAAAGTGTAATTGATTAAGAGGTATGCTTATTGAAAACACCTTCCCTAGGCTTGGTTTCTCAGTTAGGAGGGGAAATGTTTAAGATTTTAACGTATAACGTGCCAGAATTTTGGAATTTATTCTAGCATAGCATTGATTTTAGGAACAAGTGAATAATTCTACAACCTTGACTTTTGTCAAGAAAATAGCTTTTAAATGAGAAAAACTTGATAGGTTTTTGTTGTTGTTGTCCACACCATGCTGTTTTTCATTCATGATTTGATTAATGATTTCTTAAATAATCAGAGATATTCTGTTTTAAAAAGATGTTATGCAAATTGGATCTAATCCGGTTTGTCCATTCAATTCCTGTGTTCTTCAGAAAAAAAATACAAGGCACAAGGATCAATATTTGAAATTGACTACAGTTCAGTGCCATTCTTGTTTTTATAAACCAGATAAACATGGAAAATTTGTCCCATTACTGTTCAAACCCCTTTCTCTTTAAATTGTATTTATTTTGGTAGCATCAATTAAAATTCTCTACACTATCTTATTTGTAGTCAGATATTTTCAGTATAATACACATTACACAGAGAGAAGCAGAAATTAGACCATTCCTTATCTAATTTCTGTTTAGAGAACTCTAAACACTCCAGAATTATAAAGATGAATTAAATTACCTTTCATCAAGTATCTTTGCTTTTGCAGCATTTTCTTTGTTCTATTCTTGAAACACAGGCAGACTTGGAAGAGTTAACTTTTGCATTTTCAATCAAAGTCTTGTTTTCTTATTTCTCATGCATGTCTGCCTTTGGTTCCTCTGGCTTGTTTATGGTGTTTACATTTCCCCAGAAAAGCTATTCTTTTTTCTGCCCTACCTCTGTGCAAACACTTTTAAGCATTGCTACAGTATATATTGTCCAGTAGGACTGAAGTGATTTATTTAGAGCCACTTTCCCAGGATAAGATACAGTTGAAATTCATTATTTCTAAAGTGAACTAAGCTTTAAAAAACTGGCTTGACTTAAACTAAGTAATGTTTACTGCACCTCAGATGGTATAAATCAGCATATCTCTGTTGAACTTAAAGAAAATGTCCCATTTTACACCAGCTGAGGATCTGTTCCAAGAAGTTCAGTTTCCATTGGACATCATTAAACCATACCTGACAAATAAACAACTAATGGAATGTTAGAAGACGTCAATTGATACATGGTTAGATCCTGCATGTCTTACTCAAGCAAATTCCCCCTGAGTTCAGGGAGAATTTTGTCTGAGTAAGGACTGCAGAATATAGCTTGTATTAGTCAGGCTCAAACTGGAATACCAAGTTCTATGAATTAAACACAGTGATGATGAAACTTTTTTTCTAAAGAATATTCTATAGAGGTTTTTATTTTTAAAGCAATGATCTCTTTAGTGTTTAGTAAATTGTATTTATTCTTAATAGTCTTATTGATAGTAATTAAAACCCTTCTTTCAACATTATCTAGGGCTCTTTAATGCTACTTCCACATTTGAA